AGCATTAAATGTGCAGCTTCCAAGCGCCCTTTAACAATAGCGATCAACTTATTAAAAATGCATGGCCCAAAAGTCAAAAATGAGATCAACAAAATAAGAGGTCCTGCAATAGTTGACAATAGGGTGGTTAAGCAGGGTGAATAATTAAACATAGACTCATACCAGCTCTGTTGTGCTTCCCAGTCTTTTTTTTGTTTTTCTAACCCCTCCCGTAGCTTGGCCATTGTATCTCTAAGTACTCCAGTATGGTCAACATATACACAACACTCCTCCCGTAGGGCTGCACATAACCCCCCCCTGCTGCATGAACATTAGGTCTAAGCCCCGTCTGTTTTGTAATACTACTTCTGATAAAGACCTAACAGACTGTTCTAGGGCTGTCATGGCCTTTTCTATCCTAGCCAAATCCTCGTTGACTGCTACCCTTAAGGACTGAAATTTTTGATTTTGTTGTACGAGGGAGGTTATTCCTGTACCAGCTCCAGCAGCTCCGACTGCCATGAGGGTTGCCACCATGAGGGCTGTAAAGGGCTCACGTTTTTGTATGTGATGGGCCTGAGTAGTTTGATAGTCATAAACGAAATCTTCGGGATGGTAAATAAGCCTGGGTATCACAGCTACTTGTATACAATATTCAGTTGTCCAATTAAAGACCTTTAGGGATATACAAGGTGTAACCCCAGTTTGGGAACAAATCCACTTCGTATTATCTGCAGGAATTAACCACTCAGCTGTTATTTTTCCTGATTTGCGAGTTGTGTTACACAGGTGTCGTTTGTCTTTCGGGACATTTCCTATACACTTTCCTTTTCCCGATACTTGGGACATTGTTATCCCTTGCTTACGTCCAGATTCCTTATTCCACAAGCACTGAGCTGGATTTGTTCCGTTGGCCTTCTTAAATCTACTTTCCACCCCAATAGCTTCATAAAAGGGTGGCCGAATGTTGTAACATAACCAACAATGCTCAGTTATATTAGGGTAGGTGGCATTCAGTACTTGATAACTGGCTTGAAGCATATCCCACAATGGGCTGACTTCGGGTGCAAGAGTCGAGGGTTTGATTTTTGTTGATACGCCCGGGGTGTTATTTTCAGTGACGTTTATGTTAGGAAGGATTGTAACAGTACGTACAATACTGTTACTATCATCTTCCTCTGCTATGACTGGATTTGGTCCCACACCGGAGGGTTCATTGGGCACTGGCTCCTTCCTTATTAGAATTATTCCCCCTGTATCAGTGCCTGGTTCTCAAAATCTGATTCCTCAAGTTCTCCCTATAGTCCATCCTAGATCTTCAGGTTTTGAAATGTTAAGATAAATATGCCAACATGTGCCTCCCCGAACCGAACCTTGAGGCCCATAGGTGGGGTTTTGACATCCTGGTGGTCCCCATCCTACAGTTAAAAATTGGTCTTTTCCTCCCCCTGGTGCCCATTCTGATGCTATTGTTTCACAGCCCCAATATGCACAGTAATATTCAGCTGGGTGATTGCAATATCTTTTTCCTGGATTGTTAGCTGGACACATATAAAAGGCTTTACGCTGAACTGTATACTTGCGAGTACTCTCATCAATGGGGGCCCATCCATGGTATGACCTTACTAGGGAACTTAAGTGGGCCGTGAAAGAGGGAGCGCCCGGGGTAATTCTGTTTTGTATGACAACTGAGTATTCTAATTGTATTAGTGACCATTTGAAGGGTTGATGGCTGACATTGCCAGATACCATGGGCCCAACAAGCAAATACCACAGTAACATCATCCAAACACGGATTGCTGGTGGGGTTCCCCAAGGAACACCAATAGGTGTCAATGTCAATTCCCGATTATCTCTTTGCCAGGGCATACCTGGTCGGGCTCCCAGAGTCCATCCTTCCTCTCGAAGTGTCTGTTTCTTGCTATTACCCGCCGATGATCTCACGGTGTACTCACACTTCCTTTTCCGTACGCCTCTGCCTACTCCGGTGCCTGGAGCAGCGAGGTTTCTCATCTTCTCGGCAGCAGTCGTACTTCTTAAGGGCGTGTTTTCCACTTGCAAAGCCCTTACGGGATTTAGCTCCTCCCCGGGAACTGTGCAGAACATTTTATATTACCTGGGAAATGACAAGACACTCGCAGGATTCAGGGTTATAGGAGCTTCAGGTTGGTTAGGGATTCCCTGTAGCTACCCCCCGCCCCGTAAGGCAGACGTGTTTAGTCCCCTTCTCCTTTGGGTACACTGTGTACAGCCGTCCCTAAATGGGTGGCTGTTCCT